CTGTTACTGAGAGTGCACGGTGGTGATAAATACAAAGGGTACTGTCCAGTTTGGTGTCACTGCAATGACGTGTGTTAAAGTGCCACCCCGTGGACTAAATAGTTTCACCCACCATTGCTTTTGCACTCCTGATGCAGATAGCAACACAGTGAAATTGCAAACAACTGGTTAATATGATTGGAAAAATAGTTTCAACCTCACAGATCCCCAGGGGTCTATAGACCACGCTTTGAAAACTGTTGCTCTCCTGGGACAAACCTCCCAAGATGGGCTACAGAAGGAAGGAGGGAGGGGCTGTTATACAGAAGGTGCCAAAAAATGTACACACATTTTAAGGAAGGAAAACTGTATTAAAAGTATAGTACTCAATAGCTACTGATGACAAAAGATGAATACAAGTCATGTTTGACTTCTGCAGTTACAAGAGGTGCTCAAAGTGGTTCCCATCAGCATCCAGACACTTCTGATTATGGCAAACTACTGCTTGGGCAACGTTGTCCAAAGTATCCACTTGTATACAGTTTTTGGCACCCCTGGTATTTTGTTACTAATATCATTTGCTCAGAGATGGGGTCAAGAAAAGGATTCCTGTCCCCAGAACCCATCTCCTAAATCCCCACCCCACATGTTATTTTCCATTATTTACCTTTTTCTGATTCCCCATAGAAAGTCCCTTGAGAGACACATTTTTTTCCTCACCTGAGGGCAGATTAAATGGCACAGGTGGAACCCAGCTGGAAACATCCACTCCACCTCCCACCTAGGCTAAAATTTATCTTTTATTTATCTCTCCTAGTTATCACCTAACCCTAACACTGATAAAGAACAGACTTCAAGAACAAAGCACCCTGTGAGGTTAGGAATGCAAGATAACCAACCTGGCAAAGGATCAAAATCTCCTTTACAGGGGCTACTCTCAGTACTTGGAATCCCCGTTACCATCACAACCCAGTGGCTTTCAGTCTTACTCATCATTCAGGTCTCAATTTAGATATCACTTCACTTTCTAGAGAGAGGGAGGATAGGAGGGGGAAAGGGAGGGGAGGCATGAGGACAGGAGGGGGGAGAGAGAGAGAGAGAGAGAGAGAGAGAGAGAGAGAGAGAGAGAGAGAGAGAGATGCTCACGGTACCTTAATTGCCTGTTGCCTTACCTGATTTTCCCCACTAGATGGTAAACTCCAAAAAGGCAGCAGTCATTTTCTGTCTCCACCATTTACTCTCAGGGGTTTTAAAACAAGGGGTGGGAGGGAGGATGGTTTATGCTTTGCTTTTTTAAGTGGATGGCTTTAGATGGGGCATGCCTCTCCTTTCGCTACAGTCCCCCGTTCTATTGTCATGAGCGCATCACTCATTGACCGGCCTGGCCCTGAATGCATTGGAATGTGCCAGTCACACTGCGTCTCCGACCAGAGTAGGCCCTCCACAAGTATTTATCAGAGGGATCCTTCTTTTCTTTTCAGGTTGGGTAAAGCACAGAACAAGATGGGAGTCAGTGCTTCTTTAACTGCCCACCCTTCACTAACCGTGGCCCCCAGGACCGCCTTTCTTCGCAGGAGTCCCATTGTGCTTGGTCAACTGCTTCAGGGCCTCCCCATGTAGCAGGTCTCTCCAGGGAGTCTGTGACCTTCTAGAGGGCAGACTCCAAGTCTCTCTTCCTTTCTTCTCTTTTCCTCTTTCTCTTGCCTAATTCTCCCTTGCCTCCCCCTACCCTAATTTAACCACTTAATTTGTCAACCACTTAATTAGGTTATAGTCAGCTTAGATACCTGGGTAGACAGCAGACAGTCTGCTTATAAAGAAGATAATGCTTTCTCAAGCAGGAGGCCTCTGTTCCTGGAAGATCAAGTCTTACCGGCAACAGGAAAGTGTAGTCTTGTGGGTGGGGAAGGGCTGAGAGCAGAGAACTTGTAGTAGGAGTTAGGTAGGCTGTGACCTGATCATGAGAGGCCCTCAAGGCCATGCTAAAGAACGCTTAGCTATTCCTACAGACGTTGGGGTGTTACATGATCAGACCTGTGTTCCCTGAGCATATTTTCTAAGGCTAATCTATCCTAACCCACCCCCTTTTCCCCTTATCACGGAGGAGTTTCCAGTGCCTACCATTGAGACTGTACCGGAGGCCCTCCTGATTGGGTGGCTGCAATGTGGCCAGTGTCTGAGAGGAGGGGCAGGGCAGAGCAGCAGGTGCCCACCCTTCACTGCCACCCCACTCTCCTATGCCAAAACACGTTCTCAGCTTGAGCTGGTCGGACTAGATTGGGTGGGGACCAGAGGGCTCAGAGGATTAGCACATAAATCCCAGCCTTAATGAAGCACATTCCATAGTCACGTAAACAGGGTGTGGTGTACCTAGGACCAGCCCAGCTCGGAGGAGTGTGTGCATGTGTTGCAAACGTAAGAGTGCGCTACCTGCCTGTCCAGGACCTGACATTCCTAACCAGCTGTGCCCTCTAGGAGACCTCCATGCCACCTCCTTTCAGAGCTTCTTCTGTTTATGTGTCCTCACTACTTTCTGCTTGCATTCTGCATGTGACTCACCCGTCCAGCACCATCTGTCAGTTGGGGGGAAGAGAGAAGGGATGAGGGGAAGATTCCATTAGAACTGGAAGCTGGCCCTGGCCCTGGCCTGTTCTACCTTCCAAGAGCAGGGCTTCTGGACTCACCTTGCTATATTGCTCAAGGCAGGGGGCATCCTCAAAGCAAGTGGCCTGGGTTTCTGGGACATCTACAGAGAGACCTGGCATCATGGAAATTAACCCCCAAACTGCTGTATTCACCATTGCTTTGCTAAATGTGAAACTAACATATCCATTCTAAAAAAAAGTCTTAAAACCCCCAAAAGTTAAGAACATTTTTAGATTATCCATAATGCCTCTCCATAAAGACAACAAGTACTAACTTTCCATCTTTTCCTCATGCTTGTCAAGTATTTTTTTTTAAAAAGATTGTAAGGAAATATATTTTCTGGATATAATTAGGATAAAATTGTTTTTGAAGTTTTTTTGTATCCTGCCTTTTAACTTATAAACATTTCCCTATTTCCTTTATAATTCCTGTATAATTCTTGAACAATCTAATTGTAATGGCTCCATAACATCACATATGGTTGAATCATAAATCCAGAGATAGGAACCTAGCATGAGGTCTCATAAGGAGTCACTTTGAAAAAGGGATGAGACAGAAATGTGCTGCTTGCTATGACGGGGAGCCATCTCATGTCTTGTGCCTTTGTGCCCCTCAATCCCTTAGGATTCAACTGAGGTGTCATAGCATCCATGAAGTCTGTGAATCCCCACCTCAGGCTAACACCAACCCATGATGCTCCTCTAGCACCGTCACAGCACTCCATATTATTAAACGGGTTGCTGTATACATATTCAATCTCTCCCACAAGACCATAGGATCTCTGAGAACTGGGCTCAATCTGAACAAGCTGTGAATCTCCAATGTCCAGCCTGGCACATAGAAGATACTCAACAAATGCCTTGCAAAGAAGCAAAACGTGTGAGCAACCCCCTGTTGCCAGGCATTTAGACTGCAGTTTCTAATTTGTAGAGAGCCTTCATGCTCTCACTTTCTCAGATTCTATGTTGAGTGAGGAAGAGGGTGGAGGGTAGAAGGAGACCAAAAGAAAAAGAAAAATCTTGTTTGGGTCATTTATAGTTACTTGAACCTGCCTGGAAATAATGTTGGGATGGCCTGTAAATGAATCTTTGTCTGCATCCGACTCATTCTTAGGATACAAGTGCATATGCTAGAATCAGACAAATCCCAGCCCCACTATTTGATAAGTCGTGTGGCCTTGGGCATGTACTTGACTCTTATCCTCAGTTCCCTCAAAATAAAATGGAGATAGTGGGATCTACTCTTCAGGATGTTGAGATGTTGTAAATGAGATAATGTCAAGTCTTAGTGCAATGCTTGGCACACTGCAGCTAGTTTTTATTACTAAATGGAATTTCTGGGCCTATGTTATAAATCAATGCCACATGGTCAAACTGCTTTCCAGAAACATGGAAACACTTATATACATGTATACAGCACATGCTGCATTTCATGACGTCGTCTCCAGCAAGGAGTTTAGTCAATTTTTCATCTTTACCCAATTTGCTTTACAAAGGTTATGTGGGCCCTGGTCAAACCTATCTTGAAGTTCAGCAAAAGGTCATCATCTTTCTCCTCACAATTTCAGCATCCAGCATGGACCCCAGCTCACTGTTACCCCTCCCGAGGTTGCAGAGAAAAAGGCTAAGAAGTACGTGTGAGGGGAAAGGTCATGGCAGTCAGCCACGAGGGAATCCATACAGAAGTTCAGAAGCCATTTCTCCACATTCAGCTCATGATGAAATAGGGGACTCAAGAGGCAGAGAACGGCCCCAAACAATATTTTTCCTGTCTGCTTTCAGACCCATCCCCACCCAATAATACATAATCTTCAAAGTGAGAGCACAAAACCCGCTGCTTTTTGATGAGCTTGCTACAGAAGTCACCCAGAGAGGTTAAGTGTCTTGCCTAAGGTCACACAGCTGACAAATGCCATTTGTATCAAGACCACAAGGAACCCATGACTCACAACCAGCAAATCTTATCCACAATTGTACCACTCCATTTGTGTTTATCCTCTTAACCCCACTCACAACTTCACCAGCGATGTCAGGGTAGACAATGACAGGGAGCAAGAGAGAGCACACACTTGCTAGGGGTCTGAAAGCCAAGACTCATGATCTGTGCCAAAGTCAGCTGTGGGAAGAGACGGAACCATCCGGGCAGGTGCTGTTCGGCGTCACGCTTCAGAAAGGCCACTGTGGTCCAGCTGGGGGTCGTAGGGCCTTCAGGGAGGCTCCTCACCCACCTCTTCTTTCCTGCACCACATCTGTCTCTCTCTTATTTTGTTTCCTACATTTGAAAATTCCCCAGAAACAGCCAGTTACTTGGACATCTTGTTAAATTAAAAAGAGGGCAAGAGGACAAATTTACAAAGCACCATGGTAAACCAGAAGTCGTTGTTATAACAGTTTTATTCAAGTCTGTGTGCTCTGGTGGTGAGACCAGGCTGAGATCAGCATTACACTGTAATACGATAAGAGGTTTAGCCATTGAACCAAGCCTGCTTGGCATCCCTAGTCAACAATGTACAGTACCTTGAAAATAAAATAAAATAAAAGAAGCCAAAGAAAAGAACCTGAAAATTTTTCTTCAGGACTTTTCTATTTTTAAATATTGTTGACATATTACAATAACTTAAATCCCAAAGCAAAATGGGAATTCAAGGACACAGGGTCAGGACACATGGATAGGACACTGGAGCAGGGAAGGCCTAGGGATGAAAACGAGTAGCTAATTACAGAGGAGAAAAACGAACACGTGTACTTTCACGTTACCTAGACTCAAAGGCTCGAACAGGGAGAAATCCCAAAGAAAGCTTTTGTGCGAACTACAATAGATAAAACCCATCTCCAACTCCTTTACTTAATCCACTAGAAGACGCAGTCTTAGACTAAATCTGTATATGAGCATGGGAATGTGTGTGTGTGTATGTGTGTGTGTGTGTGATGGGTGATGAGGAATACTAGAAGAAATATTTGACAAAGTCATCACCTCCCTTCGTTGCTACAACAGAGTACCAAGGGCATGTAACTCCTCGATACAACAAAAAGGCAAAAGCCTGGCTTCAAGTTCCATACAAGGAGCTATAATAAGGCTTTGAAACTCAAAAGACTGGGAGGGACATGGGTTGAAGCTGCGGCAAAGAACAGTAATGGGGCAACTGGGGGCTAGAAACAGAGGAGAGAGGCCCACAGGCCTTGAGTGGTCCCAGGAGAAGAGCTACAGAATCGACACGTTCAACCTATGTGGAGCAAATCCCTGAAAAAATCGTGGAGAGGAAACAGTGGAGAAAGCAGCCAGTGGAGAGGAAGGCGGCTGAGTGCTGGGAGGTTGCAAGTCCCGCTGGGTGAGTCCAGTCACAAAAGCAGATGATGGGGTAGCCATGGGACACACTCCTCCTGGGACAAAGAGCCATCAGAAAGTCTAGGTGGACCTAAGCTAGACTGATTTTATCCCAGGGCTTCTAAACAGTGGCCTAACGTGGGCTCAGAGGAAAATGAGAGACAACTTTGGAGCCAAACAAATCAGCAATGTTCCTTCCTAGCTGCTGTGTGACCTTGGGCATATTGCATAATGATCTGAGCCTCAGTTTCCACCTCCTCAGATGGGGGTCATACCTCCTCTCCCCAAATGGCTGTGAGTTATATATACATGACAGCACCTCCCAAATAAAGGACATGTAATGGTTTCTCATAATTTCCTGTTATTCCCCATGCCTAGGCCGGGATAAACCCGTGCCTCACTCTGACAGTGATGAAGAAAAGAGCCACAGCCAGCATGGCTTCTGGGACTGGAGGTAGAGATAAATGACGAGTGAAATAAAGGTGAGAGAATAATAATGGCAGCAAAACGGATACTGGGGGCCGTGATGTGATGTCTGACATTATGAAGGCCCACTAGAGGCCAGGCACAGCGCTAAGGAACTTACAGACGTGCAAGGAAGCGAAAACACCTCCACCCACTTGAGGACTTTCTGAAATCTGGGAGAGAGAATGAGTAGGATTTGTTCACGTCTCCAGAAGTTCAAAGATGTCCCAAAGAGGCTTAAGAAAGGCTCCTCTCTAATGGAATCGCTTACCTTTCCTTTAAAACATGTACATACCTCTAAGTGGCCTTAAGCTTTCAGAGAGGCGGAAAGAAAGCTAGAGGATATCAAGAAAAAGTCACCCCCAATTACAGGTCCAAAGATGAAAACTGTCCTTGATGCTTCACTGTTCTTTCCTATGTAAATACAAACACTCCCAGAGATACCACCTCACTCAGGACTTGAGGGCAAGGGCAACTAGAAACAAACCAACCTAAAACCTCCTTCACAATCCTGCCCAAGCACCACCACAGATCCAGAGAGGAGCAGGCAGTGCCAGCGCCAGGGGCAGGGCCAGGGCCAGGGGGAGGAGGAGGGGGAGGTGACTGAAGTGCTCACCATGGATGGAAATTTTAAGGGGGCACCAAAAAGACTCAGTTATCAAGATCAATCATATTTCAATGCAGTATTTTAAATTAAAATTAATGAAAAAAATCCATGTTGAACACAATATCAAAATTTTAAATAATGCCAGGATCTGTCAATACAGTTGTCTGGGTATGAAGGATTTTAGGAATGTGGACAACTTAGTGCTTTTGAAACTTGGTCTTGCACCTCAGTAAGTGCAGAGCAAGACACACCGTATTCCAAGGGGCCATTACTCCCCCGGACTCTTCATAAAACCAATCTGACCTCTGGGTTCAGAATTCCTGGATGTCCACCCCACGTGTCCCAGCAGGAAAGGCCCATCTCTGAACCTCAGGAGTTCTGTTCCAGCGTTCCATCCAGAGACACCTACCTAGTTGTCAGGTCCACGCCTGCCAATCAGTCTAGTAAAAGTAGGTTGTGGGTGCTGGCAGGGAGGGTGGGTCAGGCCAGTGAGGAGGGAAGGTGGGTGAGGAGAAAGGCCGTCTGTTTCCAAGAGAAACAAAGAGAGGTGTGGAAAAGCTCCCGGCTCTGGTAACCAACTGGGCCCTTCTCGATTCATTTTCTATTTCTAGCTGCCGTTGTGCGTGCAAGACCCACAGCAAGGCTACTGGCAGGGGATGCAGGGAACCAGACAGTAAGAATCAGGAAGGACCAGTCCTACTGGCTCCAGATTAAGGAGGGAGCCCAACCTTTGGAAGAACAAAATGCCAGGACTCCCTGAGAAGCCAGGGAGGGGGAGGTGGGTGTGCTTCCAGGCTGGTAATGAACAATGGAGGGGGTGGGGCCTGTCAGTATCTCATCAAGACTAATGGAAAATATTCAGTCAACAGCCTGAGATGAGAGGCTCGCCTTCACCTGGCCTGCACAGCCACCCAGGAACCCAGGGCTGGGTCAGCCTAATTAGGCACCTAAGCCCTGTTAATTAGCCTTAATCAGCCAGGATTCCAGTTTCTGCCTCCTGCCTTCCAACACTAGTGCCTGAGGTGGCAAGCGCCCAGGTAGCAAGGCCAGGAAAAAGCCAAGGACTGAGGACTCCCCAGAAGCAGCAGTGGGTTTTCCTTTTTGATGTGGATTTTCATTAATTTGAATTCCTGATCTAAGAAAATGATTTGCCTGAAAGAAGAGAGGCACATCTGAGAATATGTTCCCAACAGTAACTGCGGCTTGACACGAAATCGTTCTCAGGCCTGAAGCCAAGGAGAGAGCGGCCAGTGGTCTAGAAGTTCGAACCATGGGAAACTGACCTTTTCCCAAGTGTTTCTGACCTACAACCCTTCCTCTCTGTTCCACTTTTCTCCACAAAGGGGAACAATCTAGCCAGGTGAGGATTATCAGTGCTGGACCTGGGGCTCCGGACCTTACATTTCAAAGTCAGAAGGGCTTCGTGCTTCAGGTGGGAAAGGCAGCATTATCCACAGTTCATGTTGGGGAAGAGATGCTGCTCAGATCACCAGATTCCTGCTGCTCCGGCCACCAAGTTCGCTTACGGCCACAATGCACCGCGTGAGGGCTCCTCTCACCTCACCCAGTCTGCAGTCTCTGGCAGGGCCCTCAGGAAAAGCCTGGCACTACAGCACTACAGACACGGCAACCCTTCGAGAGGCAATGGAGTGTTCCTGACCTGTCTGACAGGGCCTCACATGCCCAAGTCAAAGGCACAGGCTTAATTAAACACATGAAGAAAATGTCAGGTTCTGTATTCGGGAGGGCCTTCTGGACGGCCATTTCAGCTCTGAAGTGTACCATTCACAGTCATCCAGTCTTCAGTATCTGCTGCTCTGTGCTTGGTTAAAAGCAAGCTTGAAGAGTTAGGACTGCTCAGGGGGTGTCTCCCTCCTCGTAGTGGAGGGAGGTAGGAGGGCTCCCCAATGTGGGGACTGTGGAGCAAGAATCAGGCCTAGCTGCCCTTGGGGTGTGTCGTGTCCCTGAGCAATCGTGGTCCGAGGGAAAAGAGCTTTGTGAGGAAGCCCACACCATGCCACATGTCCCAAGGGTCAGCAGACCCTTTCCCAAAGATTTCTTCTAGGAATTGGCCTGATTCCAGTCCCCAGACAAATAAGACTCTGGGAATGACTCCAACATATCAGAGACCCCAAATTGTCTCTGGTGCTGCTTCCCACCTCCCCATCTCCCACTTCCTCCTCTGTAAGACACTAATGGTGGGGATGATCAGCCTGCCAACGTGAGGGAATTAGGAAGGATGCTTGTAAACATCAGGTGCTACATAAATGCAGAAGAGCATGTGCCTGACCATGGCCCCTATTAGTCATGCAAGGCCAACTCCCAATCACTCCTCTTCCAGAAGCCAAAGGAAGAAATAGTAGGTGAGTCTCCTTGAAGTAAAGGTGGTGAGAACCACTGTCAACTTCAGCAGTTCGTCCTAGTCACGGCCCACAGGGAGCCACGTGCTTCACTGACCTGCTGATACTTACTCTCGGTGCCCTTGTGAGGGAAGCAGGTGATGGCAGCTTTTACAGGAAGGAAATCTGAGAGGGGCGAAGGGACGAGCCCAAGGTCAGACAGCAGAATGGGGAACAGAGCCAACTTGTTCAGATCTCAGAGCCTGGTGGCCAGCTCAGCAATCAATCCAAGCAGCTTTTTAATCTCTCTTCACTGGAATCTTCGTCTTTAAGCATTTCCCCATCTCTATCAGCAAGGATATCGAATATAGAAGGAAAATGATGTAATTTTGTAAAGGTCATGAGGAAAGGTAAGCATTACTCTGAGTCATGCAAATGTAAGATTCTTCATCATCATCATCATCATCATCATCACTACAAGACCTGCAGGATACTAAAGGATGGGAAGTTAAGAGCATCCACCAAAGCTCTTAGAAATAATACATGAGGATCACTGGGACCTCTCCTCAGCCCCTGGCAGTGGCCTGAATGCCCAAGGCGAGAAACGGAGGCTAATCCTGATTACAAGCAGTGGAAGGAGCTGAAGGATCTCATCAGCCTCTTCCACATAGTGAGCACCTGCCAAGGGCAAAGAAAAGAGTCTCTGAAGGAAGAGAAGGGAAGGGAAGAGGAAGGGCGCTACTGCTGCTGCCGAGGCTTCGTCCCCAGCTTCAAGGCCTGCTCCTGACCGTGACCAAGTCCCGAGGCAAGGGAACCTGAGTGGACAGAAAGCAACTCAAATCTGTTACTATACGGCATCCATAGCCCATCCAACCTTCCCTACAGAGAAAGAGTGTGGCAAGGAGTGGCCCATCAGGCTGGGTTTGGAGGAGTTGAGAGTTCCCTCTTCTTCATGGAAACTTACAGAAGCATTTTTAGAATAATCCAGCTTCTGCCTCTTGCAGGTATAATTCTCCCCTTAGCAGGGACCCAGGTTTCCCTTGTCTTACCCCTGGATAGAGGAGTAAGAACTGGGTTCAACCTCTCACTCAATGGCAAGTGGCCGTCATTCAGTTTACGCTACCTCAGCTACACTACCACTTCCGAGAGATGGCTGCAACCTAACAAAATGACAAAAAGTAGAAAATGAGCAAAGGAAACATCCTTGCCTCCTACCACAGAGCACTGTCCAGAGTCAGCATGGTTTATATTAGGCCGTAGACTTCATATTAAGCCCACCAGAGAGCCACTTGGTGGGGTCAAAGGTTTATAGATGTGTTAGTGGCTTAGGGGCTGGGGCTACGGAGAGTCCAGGGGGAGGGCACAGAACAGACCATCTGTGACCCTCTCCCCACCACGAATGAAGAGCAGTCACTTGGTTTGCTGGAACTGCTGACAGGATTCACATTTTTTTCCCTCCTAGCTGAAGAATAGATGGGGGGCAAACATCATCTCCCCACCCGAGACCAGGTGGGGCCCTTGCACCAAAGTGCCAGTGGGCTCACAAAACAAGGAACGATCTGAAACCAAGGTCATCCCTTTTGTCATTCCCAGGGCAGGATATCTATCATAGTTCCAGAGTGAGAGCAGTGACCAAATCCGTTACTTGTACCTACTTCACCACTGTCCCTATTCTGGCATTCAGGCAGCATATGCAAGGCATCTGCAGGTTGGCCTCCAACACCTCCAGAGAAACATTCCATGATAAAAGACAGTGGAGCAACATTTAGAGTCTTGAGGGGAGAGGGGCAAGACCTAAGAACTCGACTCCCAAGCAAGTGTCGACTCCCACACAAAGACAACTGTTTACACTTGACACAGGAGGCCTCAGAGTAAGGGGAATAATGAAGATATACATGAGAAAGCTCCAGAAGAAGCTCAACATTCTACTTAGGGAAACAAATTCCAGAAAAGTCAGATTTGGCCACTGTTGTTTTTCTACGTAGTGTGGTCCCGAGCCCAGCATTAGGGGCTATCTGTGCACAGAGACAAGAGCCCTTGGTCAGTCTCCAGTGCTTGAAGGTTACTGTACATCGGTGGCTCACTAAAGCATCTTACAAGCATCATCGCCTCACCACATCCATTTAGGAAGGTACTACTAATGGCTCCATGTTACTTCAAGGGCATCACAGAATGGATGGTCTGGCTGTGAAGGAACACCCACAGTTCCAACTCCCAGCGTCCAGGACCCCTCAACCCAGCCCCATAGGCTATTCTGGTGCAGTGCAGAGCTATCTACCAACCAAATGCATAACCCAAAGTCCACTAATTCCAGGGACTGCAGGGAAGGGGAAGGGAAGGGGAAAACACATAGAGATCAGACAACAAAAGGGACAAACACAGAAACGTCGTCTCTGGCATCCCAAGAAACTATTCGTGGGATGAGCATATATTTTTATCAGAATCTGGTCTGACCATGTCCGGACCCCAGGCAGGAGACGGGCGCCGTCAACAGGTGCTGGTTTCTTCCCTTCTGACTTTTTCAGAAAGGAATAAGGACAGACAGACTCTGTTCCCCTCTTGATGGCAACTCACTGTATTTTTCCCAACTCCCTTCCCCCTACCACTGGTAGGCTCAAATAAATAAGTAGGGTGCCTGGAAGTGCAGGTAGGTAGTGCCAAGTCTATCAACTCCCATGCCCCTCACCGGGGCGCCTTGCCTTCAGTCATCCAGCTAACATGAAAGGGCTCAGGACACAGAAAAGCTCTTCTCTCACACTAAACAAGATTTGGATTCAAGAGGGGTTGGGGACGAACATGGAAGAGGAGCAAAATCAATCACAGGACATCCAATACTGGTGTTTGGGAAGGCTGAAATCGGGGCTAACAGGGGGACCCCAGGACAGACTCTGGCCATACCCAGGGGGCTGAGGGGAGCGAGCAGCAGACAGATTTGGCTGAGTGACGCTGCAGGGTCACCCCAAAGGCGAGAAAGACTGTGGAGAGTGGGGGACATGCATGCACCCTCCCTCCCCTGAACAGCCAGAGCTGAGAGCCACAGCCCCTCCAGTGGACATGGGTAGAAAGGCCCTGCAGGGCAAGAGACCCTCTGAAGTGGCCCTGCTTCCATCCCTTCCATCTTCAAAGTGCATTATCAGTGCAAGAAGTAGGACTGGATCTCAGGGGGTCCAACTCTGAGAAAGGGCTGTGCCAGCCAGCTCCCCCCCATATCCTCCTGCTTCCCCCTTGCCCACCCCGACCCTTTACAGGCTAAGACCAGAATTCTTGCTGGATCTCGTAAGGGGCAGGCCTGTGTGTGTTCAGTTCAGCTCTGCACAGTGGCACAGTGCTGTCCTGACTCTGGCCCTCCGCATCCAGATCCAGAAGCGTCCGCTCGCTGGGGGGCAGTGGCCCCGACTGGAACGGCAGCAGGGCTGGAAGGCCAGGCCGCTCCTCCACAGTGCTGCTGCTGCTAGCAAAGCAGGAGTCCAGGTTGCTGGGCGTCTCCGTGCTGGAGCTGTTGGCTGGGGAGGCGCTACGGGCATGGCTGGGGGACACAAACCACCAAGGGTCCAACCGCTGCCGGTTGGCAGAAGGACGTGGCCGAGGCAGAAACTCCAGGGTCTTGGGTCTTTCCAAGGTAGAGTCCTGCTGTGTGTTCCAGCGCCTTGGGGTTGGGGGAAAGACCACATTGGGATCAGGGAGACGGGGGAATTCACCTGGGTCTCGGCTGGGGCTAGGGGTTTTCAACATTCCTGGTAAAAAAGACAAAGGGAGAGGCATCAGATGATGGCACTTTGTTTCTGGGCCAGAAATATGCTGCTCCCTCCCTAGCTTGCCACAGCCCTACTCACTTAGGATGATAACACGAATAACAAATAATTAATGCGCACCTACTATGCACCAGGCAGTGTGCTGGGAGGCACTGGAAATATAACAGTGAACTAGAAGGCTATGGTCACTGTATCTGATAATGAGACATATGGGGGTCACATCTGTAATAAAATGACTTAAGGCAGATGCCAGCAAACTACAACCCATAGGCTAGCCACCTGTGTTTGTAAATAAAGTTTTATTGGAACACAGCCACACCCATTCCTGCTCTCCCACTACAGCAGCAGAGTTGAGTAGTTACAATGGAAACTATATGACCCACAGAGCTTAAAATATTTACTGTCTGGCCCTTTACCAAAAATGTTTGCTGACCCCTGACTCAAGGAAACGTCTGTTCATTCACAGCTCATCCGTTCAATAAACGTGTGATGGGAACAAAGCTAGATACCAGAAATCTAAAAAAGATGAGTAATATAAGGGTCTCTATCTCCAAAGAGGTCACATATTTGAGTTTAACAAAAACATGTGAAGAGGGGAGGGGTAGCTGAATGGTCAAATACAACTGTCATTCACACTCGAATCTCGTTGAAAGGGGATTGCCATCCCTTCTCCTACTGGATTAGAGGTGGTTTCCAAGTCAGACCCAAGTCTTCTAGGGAGCAAGAGACAGTGGTGGGAGAGGCCCAGGCTGGGTACGTGCATGCCCAGGTGTCAGGTGGAGAAGGCAGGTGAATGGCGCAGTCACCGCAATTTACCTGGACACATCTCCACATCCGGAGAGTCAGGCATGAGTAACGGATGAGTAGCGCAGGGTGTGAGGCACAGGTGGAAGCTTGCCTTATGAGTGTGCCTGTCCTAATGCTATAATGAGATGCAAGAGCCCAGCTACGTGGCAAAAATACCCGTCCTACATGCAGGGCAGGACCCCTTTCGGTAATTTCGCTCTCCTCTGCAGGGAACAAGCAGCGCTAGGCTCCTGCCCTCCCTGCCGCCTGAAAGCACTGCACTGTGCACGCCAAGACCCAGGGCCTGCACATCTACAGGGGTCCCGGGTCTGATCGTTTCCAGAGCCTGACTGCCTTCTTTTGCTCCTCAGGCAAGACCCCCTGAGGCACAGGACAGAGAGAAGTTGGCCACCTCCTCCACCCCAGATGAGCATGTCTTGATTGGCTAAGTCAGAGAAGGAATGGAGTTCACCCTAAGATTTCCACTCCTGGGGGAGGCACAAAGGCAGGAAAGAGAGAGGAGGAGGAGGGCAAGACTCACCTGCTCCAGGGCTGGGGCTCAACCCATTGCTGGAGGGGCTCCTGCTGGCTAGGAGAGCCGTTGGCTTGAGGGCCCCATCAGAAGGAGTCCGCCGGTGACCAGTGGGATGGGTGGGGGCCGTAAGGGTGACGTGGGTGGGAGTCAGGGATTGGTTAGGGTCTCGTTTGAAGCGCTCCACTCGGACATTGACCAAGGGGTTGTGGGTGCAGGGGGTCAGGGGCGGGGCCTCAACTGGGCTGACAGGCATCTCATACACCACAATCTCATCACTGTCAGATCGCAGCAGGGAGCGGGTGGAGTTGCACTCGGAGATGGAAGAGAGAGAGAGCAGTGTTAGAGAGGCAGAGGGGTCTCCTAGCAACAGCATGGGCTCTTCCTTCTTGAAGAGCTTCCGGGATGGGGGGCTGGTGCTCCGGCGAGGACGACTGGCCCTCTGAAACAGACCCTCACGCCTCTTCTTCTCCTCCCGGGCTGGTGGCTCAGGCTCCTCCGGGGGAAGCAGCTGGCACTTGCCAGCTTCCAGCAGGTCGAACCCCAGGCCTGTGGCTGCGAGAACAGCCCCACAGCCAAGCAGAGCCACCTCACAGCGACGGTGGTGGGTGCCACCCCGCTTGAGGCTATTGGTTGGAGTCAGTTGAGGGGTACTGGTAGCTGAGTTAACTGGGGTGGGCTCCTCGTGGACTCCGTCACTGGAGGGGCCATCCCCATCCTCTCCACGAGGGAATGGGATACAGAGGTAGGACTGGTTGGGTGAATGCTGTAGATGACTCTCCCCACTCCTTGGGCCTTCACTGTCCTCATCCTCTGTGAAGATAAGAAGAGTAGACGGGAAAGGGGAAATGGAAATGAAGCAACAAAAATAAGATTCTGTGGCCAGCCGAGTGGCGCGTTGGTTAGGAGTTGGCTTGGGACGCTAGCTCTGAGCAGTAGGGCCCTGGTTTGGATCCCACATGGGCCAGTGATGCTGCGCCCTCTACAGCTAAGATAGTGAACAACAGCTGGACCTGGAGCTGGGCTGCCATGAGTCGCCGGTGATGGCGCAGGCTGCAGTGGAGCTGTAGTGGGCTGCTGTAAAGCTACCGTGAGTGGCTGGCAGCCAGCATGAGTGGCCAGCATCCGGCGTGAGCTGCCAAGAGCCGCCGTGAGCAGCCATCCAGGGGCCAGAGACTGATCTGCTTTACCCGGGAAGAACGCAATGATAATACCAATATGGGCCAGTGAAGCAACATCCTCCACAACTAGACTGAAGAACAAAAGGACAGCAACTCGTCTGTTCCTTCCCCAATTCCCCAACGCTGTTCCCCTCCCTCAATTACCCAATAAAATCTTTAAAAAATAAAAATAAATAAAAATGAAAAAAGAATAAGATTCTGGTCCTTCTCTCCAACTCCAGGCCTCCTGAGAACAAGGGACTGAGCACTGAACCAATAGGGCTTTATCCCTCCACACTCAACTGTGACCAACGTGGGAAAATCACTCTCCATTCCAGAACCCGTTTCCCTATTTGCAGGAAGGGGTCTGCTAATTTGCCATTTCTTTCACAGGAACCCTCAACACAAGAGGCGCAGTGTGAGTTTCCTAGAACATTGGACAAAACAGAAATATCCCAATTTTTTTGCACCTTAAAATTGGAAGAGACCTTGGATTTCTAGAATGATATCCTAGAGACTTGTCTTAAGAATAGTCTCCTGGAAAGGATTAGAGTCCCCTACATGGGTAAAGGCCAATCTACTCTATAGACTGACCTACTATGACCTTGGAAATCTACAGGCATAAGAGGACTATCTGAGAGAGAGCCTGAAGAAGACCTTATCCATTTAGCAATGATGGGAGACACTGTAAAGCTTCCTTAAGAGGAAGACTATGGCATCTTCTACCACCATCTCTTATGGACTCCCAACATTAAAATACCAGGAAACAGACCCAGAAAATGGAAATGGCTGATTCAAGGCCTCACCCTTCAGCAGTGCCCTAAGGAGGCTATAACTAGCTCTTTGGAATAGAAGGCCAAGGGCAGGCAGGCTCCAGGGCAGCAGTGGTGGTTTGGGAAGATTCAATGAAATGGGAGTAGGGCAGGCTCAGAGGGAGAAGGGTGGGGGACCAGCGGTTGAGTAAGAGGAAATGACTCCCATGAAGTAATACTAAGGGTCCTATATAGTCCCAAAAGCTTGGCCAAGAATTATCTGAGGGAACATGGAAAGAATCAAGACAGGGCAGTGCTTACCCATCTCCATAAGGCTGGTGAACCCTGGCAGGGCTGGGCTACTCCTCGGGCCCTTCCCCAGGTTGGGGGCACTGGACGACCATTGTTTGTATCCATCTACCAGGGACTTGAGGCTAAATAAGGGGAAATGAGGAAACTATTAGAGCTGGTTACTTCTCTTCCTCCACCTTCAGCTGCATGGGCCTGTGGAAATGTCTTTCCCTGTCTGCTTAATTACATCGAAGCCCAAAAGCCTTGGGGTACAGGCAACAAACCTAACTGAGCCCACCTGCTTCATTAACAAAAGTGCACATGCTCTAGGGAAAGAAAAGCAGTGGCGTGACCCATCCCCTTCACATGCTGCTATGGGTTATGGGAAGATCTGAGGAGCAGGCTGGAAAGAGAACAAACAGACTAAGGACTGCCCAGCACTGGCTGGGGTCTTGCTGAGCCCATCTTAAGGGAGAGGCCATCAATCCATAGACACTGAATACAACGCAGTGGTGACATCAGAAATACTGCAATGCCAAGACCTACAATGCCAGGCAAGCTCTGAGCAATGAGCTAGCAGAGATGGGCCAGGCCACTCCACTCACACCATTTCTCAAGTTCTCCTTCCAAGCTTATGGCATGCTTACGCAACTTTCAAAGCCATCCAGTTTTCAAAAAACAAAAATCAGCCAACAAAGCTGCATCAACACAGTGCACTTTGGGACAGACCTATGTGGGTAGTACACAGTGCTGTACTTGCGCCCTCGGTTTGTCTGGGACTAGAGAGGAAAAGGACAGGAACTCACTTTCAAATCCCTGTGATCAGCTCACAATGGCAAGCCAGTAACTCCAGGATACAGACTGGGAACCCCTCCCAATCCCCTTAAAGGCTGGGGGAATCAGGGACCCAGAAACACTGGGAGGACTAAGAAACCTGTGCTATGGTTGCCTTAGAGACATGAGGATTGTAACCAGAGTGGCTCTCATTTTAGGGGTAGAAAAAACCGTTCAACTAACACCCACTCTTGCCAGCCCATCATGAAGGACCACCTTTTTTCCCTGACTTCAATTTCTGTTTCAAGTGCTATCACAAACACCAATGAATTAAAGTACATTCTAGCCAACAGCGGTGTCAATGAAAACACACAGCCAGAAATAAGCATGCTGCTAACCGCTAGCCTGGGACTTCTAACTGATAATCTGGTAACACCGCCTCCAGCTCTGGGTCCAGGGGAATCCAGATTAGCAAAGTCAAAGCCAGGACTACAGACCAAAGGATAAATAGCCAAGTACTGTCTGCCTAAAACTAAGGGTGCCAGGGGAACCCCAACAGGTCAAAGAAGTGTTCTCAGGGAAATGAAGAACAAGCAAGAGTCAGCCCAACACAGGAATTTTCCCAAGGTGCACAATGGTACTGCTTAAAAAAAAAAAAGTCAGCACAGCCTGGTAATAATGCGGCTTGATTCTATGGGGTATGCTGGGAGAACAAGGAAATGGAAGGGTTATTATTACCAATACATTTGCAAGGGTGAAGAGTAGACTCACCCCAAGTGGAAATGTGGAGATTCTGATGGGGTACTTAAACCATTAGCTTTCTCACGTCTCTGAGGGGATCTTCAATGAACAAAGACAATCAGTAGTGGGCAGCAGCGGGTACATCCAGCTTAGCCTCTCCCACATGAGAACCCTCAAGGCTGGATTCTAGCTATATTGCCAGCCACCCTCCCCTTGTCCAGTCAGTAAAGCCCACACCATTAAAGAATATTAACAAGATGGCCCTGCTTGAGTTGTTACAGGCCAGGACTTCCCAAATCTGTGTGACAAAGGTTCCTGTGTAGCCACAGCATAATTGCAGGGGGCCTGTGAACCCAGATACTCAAGCTGACTACAGATAAGTGCATATGTTTCCTACAGATGTGTACTATTTTTTTTAAAGTATGGAGATGCAAATTCACTTAACATTACGAAATTCAATATAGCTTTTTGCCATTACATATTTTCTTCAGTCAACAGGAACTAAATTTAGAAACACTGTCATACAGGGGGGTCTCAAAAATATTTGACGTTAAAGAAGTATTTACTTGAAACTGGGTAGAATATGGTTTATGTCTTCAATAGGAATTGAGAATCATGAAAAATGAAGTCACATATTTTGAACTCACTGAAAAGTTTTGAGGGAAAAATCTATATAAGGAGGAAGAAAATCCCAAAGTCAATATTTGGTAATGCAAAATAAAGGTACTTTACTGGCAAGACAAAAAAAAAATATCTATATCTATATCTATATCTATATCTATATCTATCTATCTATCTATCTATCTATCTATCTATCTATCTAATCTTTCAATGAAGCAGAACCATAGAAACTAATGGGATCCATAGCTACCCTGGGAAATCCTACCTGAAATCACACTAATGTCAGAAATATCAGGGGATTCAGGGTGAGTTTCTTCTCAGCCCCAGCTCAACCCTGCTCTAGGCCAGGGCTCAAAGGACAAGCTGAGGAATTCTTGCTGCTGTAGAACTTAGTACAGCAGAGCAATCTGTCATCCCAGAGGGCTCCATCACTGAATTCTTACATAGTTTAGGTAGTTTGCCCTCATATCTAAATTTTCTATTCCAAGGTATGACATAGAGAAACAGATTTTAGACATGGAATCTTAGTGTTCGGAGGAATACCAGGGCTAATTACAGGTTCAGGGAACCTATAAGCCTAATATTTAACCTTAGAAGCTCTTCAGAAAGCCACTTAAAAAGGTAAAGGGGGTTGATGCTTATACTTAGGAAAGGTCAAGAAACATGGTTCAAGATTCTAACACCAAGAATAAGACGTATAACCCACTACGTTTGTTTGTCAGGTATGAAAGAGAAATGCATGGGAAGCATGGAAGAATCATAGAAAACATTTACACATGCTTACTATGAGCCAGCTAATGTTCTCTGCACTTCACCAAGATGAATTTATTTAATCCTCCATCAACTCCATGAGATGGGTACAGATATAATCCGTTGTATAGATGAGAAAAGATAAGGTCCCTCGGCGGGTATGGTGGAGCCAGGATTTGTACCCAGGCAGGCTGGGGTCAGCGTGCAAGCTCTTTACTACTACACTACTAGTGACTAGCCTCAGAAGGACGGGAACTGGGTACAATTTGTCTCCTAGGCCACAAGGTCACAGCGAGAACAGAGGGGGCGCTCGTACACATCACTGTGGCTATGGGGTGGGGCCCAAGAGAAGTTCTAGTGGCCCCTGAGTTATGTCCAACTGCTCTACCAGAGCTAGATTATTCTGTGGGCCCCTGCTTTGGGATGAGCCTCATCAAGACCGTCTCATAATCCACTCTTCCTTCTCTCTCCTCTGAGGGGGTGATTTAAGGGAAAGAGCCAGGTATAAGTAGAACCGTCAGGCAGAACTTTACATTAGCTTAATGCTTGGAGTACTTGCTACTCTGAGTAGGACACCTCCAGGGGTCAGTAAACTATAACTTGTGGGCTATATCCTGCCCGTTGCCTGTTTGTATAAAAAATTTTACTGGAACACGGCCTTGCTCATTCATTTACATCTTGTCCACGGTCTGTGGCTGTGTCTGCACTACCACAGTGCCGTTAAGTGGCTACAAGAGACACCACATGGCCCAAAAAGCCTAAAATATTTATCATCTGGCCCTTAATGGAAAAAGTATGCCGACTGCTGTCCTAGGAGATTCCAGGGAAAAAGGAGATTGGAAAACTCTGCTTTAAAGATCAAGAAGCTTATAATTTCTCAAAAAGAAGCAAAACACACAACGTTATTTCACATCACAGTTGTAAAAGGGTGTACCCATTTTTAAATGAGAAAGAATTTCCCATCATCTGGCTCTTACCCTTCGTCTCCTGAGGCAAGCTCTTTCTGACCAAGTGTACCTGGCCCCCACGTCCGTCCCTTCTTCTTGGGAGCCCTCTTCTCCTCCTCCTCCCCTTCCTCCTTTGGGATGACTGAGCTCCGGCCCCAGGTTTTGCTGCTTTCGCCTGGTGTCACTGTGAACAACAAAGGTTGGATGGGATCTGAAAACAGAAGGACAGGGCCCCCCCCATAACTAGCCTCTACCCAAGCAGACACACACACACACACACACACACACACACACACACACATACAGCTCCTGGGAAGGAGTTAGAATTCTTCAAAAACTCTGTGCCCAAGAAAAATAATGGAACCCTCAGCTACCAATCATATAGCACTCTCCAAGTACCAAGCTTAGAAACAGTTCCTATCTTCTCATAAGTCCAATGTAAAGCTGGGGCTCAGGCCAGCCAGACCTCAGAGTTCCGAACAGGTCTGACTTAAGAAACTTGTTTTGTTGGGTGGAGTTGGATTGGGGGTGGGGTGCGGTGGGTGAGGAAGTAGGTGGAAGAGAAAAAAGATAAGGGGTGAAGAAGATGTGGCAGTATTGAAATTTGGTAAGAAAGTGCCAAAAAGGATGAAAATTAGGATTTCTAGGCTATGGAGAAGGAAGTTGGAGGACAGGGAAGGAATAAGCCTAGAGAAATATAATAGATAAGAGAGGAGGAACAGTCCTCTGAAATTGGTACCCAAGAGCAAAGGCTGAAGCCCAAATGCTTCAGAGACTTGGCTTATACCACAAATGAGTGAAGTGAGAGGACTGAGGCAAAATACAGGTATGTGGAAGGTGCCGTGAGTTCTAGCCAACTGTGGCCACACGCAAAAGGGAATCCAATGATTTGATTTCAAGGAAAGCCAGAAATTCAGGGTTTTTTTTATGAAATCTATCTTTAAATTAGGGAAACTAATTCATTCATATACACACACTCACATGCATGCGCATGTGTACATGTGTGTATGTGTAAATTCTTTTTAATAAACACTGCCATAAAAATAAAATTGGTCCAGATCTGGCGTATCATAAAGTATTTGGCAAGTTTCCCCAGGACCTACACTTTGAAGCCACCCTTCCCTGGGAAGCATAAATAAAAGAAAAATAGTGATGTCCCAAATATGGCAGAGCACACAAGGTTCCCAGACCATGGTACCAACCTGTATCTACATCACACACCTGTTTCCAAATTGCTTCGTACCCACATTACCCACAAACCCTTTTGCTGGTATCTGACTAAGAGCAGAAGGTAGAGGAGGGAGCAGTAAAGCTAATGGAGGGAGACAAGGGGGAGGGCTATGGTTTGCGTACATATGTGCATGTATATACACATTGTTGAGGAGAGGTGGCAGAAGTTATGGATGGAGCAAGCCAGGACCAGTCGGTGGTTGGGCTGAGTAGGGGACAGGTGCCCTTGGTGTGTTCTGGCCCCAACTAATTTGGGAAACAGTCTCACACTGGATGGCTCGAAGGCGAGGAATGATGGTAGGGCTTGCAGGAGGGCTAGAGCGGCTGCTGATGAGACTCTTCCTTTTGTCCATGGTGGGGGAGGCCTGTACTGTGAACTTGTGCTGGAAATCTGCTTGGGGGGAAAGACAAACACATTAGAATTTTCCCATAATCAAATTCCTATGAGAAAGTTGACATTTCCTGGCAGGCTTGAGGGACAGGCCCCCATTTCCTGAGAAGCTCCTTGTTCACCTGGGAAATATTCTGTTTTAGAATCATCTTGCTCTCCCAACAGATGACAGGATGGCAAGATGAACCCAGGAGGAGAAGGAAAATTCCTTATCCGAGTGAATGCCATTAGACAGTTTTCATAAAGCTGTCTGTGTCATGTATACAGGTGCAGCAATTACATATTTAGAATTGTCTTTTTTTAGATCAGGAGAGCTAATTATTCTAGGAAATCCAACTAAAAATTCTCCATTTCATGTAATCTAAGTACACGCCCCCTCTTCTCAGGGACCAAAGCACGCAGACTAATGGTTATCATTACGTGCAGGCAGAGGAGGGCAACAGGAACTAGTCCTTGGTGGGAGCCCTGGGAAGTGAAGGACCTGGGACCAAAGGTCCAAATTCTGACATAGTCCAAAGGCAGTGACGGCATAGCACAAGGAATGTAAAACTTACAGCTCTGAATTTCTGAGTTTCAATCTCCTCGTCTATCAAAGGGGTATAATAATCACATCTGAACATTGACACCTAGCTCCCTGCTAGACTGTGATCTCCCTGAAGGGGGGGAACTATCGCTTTGCTATCTGCTTCCCCAGCATGCAGCTGTATGCTGGCACATGCTAGATGCTCAAGAGGTACTTAAAGACCCTGTGTTGCCTAAAAAGAAAAAACACGTGTAACAGGGAAACCAGTAAACACGTCCCATGAACACGTTCACTGACTAAATTAATTCCCTTGTATGTACGTAAGCCACCATCCTAGTGCTTAAAACCATCCACTTCTGCTCCTAATGTGTCATGTTTCCTTGGTTCCTTACACTTCTAATAAGCTTGCTTCCTGGAGGTCTTATGGACTCCCGATTCAGTAAACTCTTTTTCTCTACATAAACACACACTTGAGCACACACCTCCCTCCATGGATAGATTACAGCCCACGAGATTCTAATTCATAGTTTCACATTTCTTTGAATTTTCCCAAGGCTGTAGATTCTACAAGTGTATTTATAGTCAGCCAATGTGTTTCTGAAAGGGTATGTGTAAATCAAATTCTTATACATTAATCCTAATCTCAACTGCACGCAGAGAACTAATTATTTAAAGAAACCTTGAGATGAGTTATTTCGCAGAGACAAGAGTTCACTTGTCTCACACATACACTCCCTGGAATTTTCCCCCCCAATTGCACGTTTCCTTCTCCAGGTTTGCCCAAAGTGAGACGTGCCCGTGTGAGCAACCATGCTTGGAGCAGCCTGGACTGTGCTTTCCTGTAAGGTCCATCACCTTTGTCTTCATCTCATCATCTGTGTTGAGTCACACTCAAAAATTCCCCTGGAGCAGGGAAGCTTTTCAGCAGACCAGCCTTTCCACCGAATAGAACAGCCCATTCCAAACCAGCTCGTGTTTCCAAGCTCGGTCCCTGGCTCCCACTAACACCCAGCCACACCAGCCCCTTGCCCTGCTCCTACGTCCCAGCAGGGCCCTGGCCACTGACCGGAAGGGAGGCTGATGCGGTTCCCATCCTTGAGCTTCAGCCGGCTCTTCCTGAACTTGCCCTTGCGTTTCTTCACCCGAGGCTTCTCCTGGCACAGCTGGTGGATGATGATATTGAGTTCCCGTTCCAGGATGTCGATCTCGCGCTCGGCCAGCTCCTGCTCCCGGCGCCGCAGCAGCTCCTCCTGGTTCTTCTGCTGGAGCGCAGCCCGCGTCAGCTCCTCCTCCCAGGTGCGGAGCTCCTGCGGGGCAGGTAGAGCCATCAGAGAAGAGTGGGGCGCTCAGCACAGAGGGGTGAGGCCCGCCGAGAGCCCCGGGGTGCTGGTGCTCACAGCGACCTGGAAAGTGCTCCTATAATGCCCCCTAGTTCAAGTCCTGGTGGAGATGGAGCTCAATAGCTAGTGAATGACTACCTGATCACCTGAATGGTGGGGAAAGGAAATCCCAGAACAGCCACACTAAGGATACAGCTAGAGTAGCCACAGGCCAAGCCCTGGAGACAGGGGCTTATAGTTCCCAGTTGCTCCTTGATTATTGATTAAAATTGCCTGTGACTGAGGAAAAAAATGAGGGTTTGGATAGAAAATATATGTACGTATGTATTTAAATTTTACAGACTTGGTTGTATTTTAATTTTTTCCATCATATAAAATATTTTTTAAAAACCAGAGCCAACTTAATGTGGCCTAGCTTAAAATGTGCCCACTGTAAATGAATTACCCTCCTGTATCACCTAACATTCAAATAAAAATATTTCTGGGGTGGCTGTTCAAAAGGTATGTAGGGCATGTTTGCTTGATGAGTGAATCCACTGAGGCATGTGGTCTGAACACTCATCTTATTTTAAAGCAAAACCATTTGCTCTGGAAGGATTCATGGCAGCAAAGCAAAGAGAACATTTCCTGAAGTCTTTGCCAGACACTTGCTCTAGAACCACTGCCACATTATGTGGGCAGAGCCTGTTCCCTGCCTCCCCTTTTTCCTTCTGCATGAGCTTATTATATATGACAACAGTATGGAGTCCCTGGGAAGAGCAGAGATATAGAATCTGGAAATAGGAGACAAAACAGGAAAGAACAAAACATGTGTATATAATTTTTAAATCTGGACTCTAAACTGCTAACACTGGTTACCCTGGGCCTAGGATTGAAGTGGAGTAAGGGTAGCGGAAAACTTAAGAAGCTTTCATGTCAGTAACCTGAGAGAACCATGTCTAACAAGTAGGAAGCTTCTTCAATAAAGAATCCAGAGCAACATTTCTGTGGTTGAAACTTAAAATTTGCAATGAAATGTTCCACCAGAAGAAGTCATTCTGGACTAAAACAAAATGCTATAGAAAGGGAACCTAGAGCTATAAAAAAAAAAAAAAGTATGTGAACACATAGTGGAGAAGCTGAGCAGCATGTAGAGAGCAGAAGAGAGAACAGAGACAAGATGGGAATAAAATATTCTGATATTAATGGGCCAGCCGAATGGCTCAGTTGGTTAAGAGCTCGCTCAAGAGTGCGAGCTCTGAGCAAGAGCGGTTCGAATCCCGGTCTGAGCTGAGCTGCCGCTGAGCTGCCAACAGGTGGCAGGATGGCTCAGCTAAAAAAAAAAAAAAATATATATATATATATATATATATGTGTGTGTGTGTGTGTGTGTGTGTGTTCTGATATTAGTTGCTTTTCATTCGAGTTGTCCTCCCTTCCCAAGAGAATATCAAAACAACCATAAAAGTGATAGAAAGGAGAAAAATCAAGAAAAGGGTTACACCTTGAAAATTGTCTGGTACGTGGTAGATGCTCAGTAGTTGTTGAATAACTGTTGAGTCAATGAATGAATGAATGAATGAGAAAGAAGAAGGAAACAAAAACAATTTTATAAACATAACCCTTTTTTATGGGAACATATTGTATTGTTGGAAAAGTCATGATGTATTTTTTCTGTTTTTCATTGCAAAAATGCTTCATGGGGCCGGCCGACTGGCTCAGTTGGTTAAGAGTTGGCTTAAGAGTGCAAGCTCTGAGCAACAGGGCCACCGGTTGGATTCCCACATGGGCCAATGACACTGCTCCCTGAGCTCAGCTGTCGCTCAGCTGCCAACAGGTGGCAGGATGGCTCAGCTGTTGTAACAATAAGATTGCCTGTTCGATGGTGGGCTATGCCCACCCACAACTAAGACTGAATTCTATGCCCACTCGCAACTAAGACTGAATTCTATGCCCACCCGCAACTAAGACTGAATTCTATGCCCACCCGCAACTAAGACTAACTTGGCACCTTGAGCTGAGCTGTCGCCCAGATAGCTTGGTGGATAGAGCATGCATTCTTAATAACAAGGCTGCTGGTTTCACGCCCGCAGATGATGGTGGCTACGCCCACGTGCAACTAAGATTGAACACAGCACCTTGAGCTTAGAGGCCACAAGCTGCCGTCGGGAAGCCAGATGGTGAATGGCGCCCTCCACAACAATGACTGAAGAACAACTTGGCTGGCCCCCTTCCCCAATTCTCCAGCACTGTTCCCCTCCCCCCAATTCCCCAATAAAATCTTTTAAAAAAAATGTGTCATGACTTTTCTGACAACCCAATAGATTCATCATAAGTATCTGTGAGATGAACTCAAACGTTTGAGTTTCTTCTTTGATGAAATAAGTCCCAAACAGATTACTTGTACACCCTCCAAATCTTTGGCTTCCCTGTCCCTCTGCTTTGTTTTCACCTTCGGGAGAACAAAAACATAAGGAAGATTCAGAAAAGTTATTCCTGATTGATTGCTTTTGCTGCTAAATGGGAAAACTGAAAATTTCAAGTTCATTTCAGTCTTCCTGAATCCTCTCTCCTGCATGCCCTTGTCGAAGGGATGGTTTGGGTCTAAGCTCCTTCCTTTAAGGAAACGCAAATCTCAATCCAGAGACCAACCCATTGTCACAATACCTAGAAGCAGTAGGTTGAGCCATCCCAAAGAACGAGCTGAATCATATGGAAAACCATGACATTTCTGGAGTGCTCACCTTTGGCACCGTACACCTGGAAGGCCCTCAAATATGGTAAATCCTCTTCTTGTGAAACACCTATTGGAGGATCAACTTCATAGTATGCAGATCACATCTTCCACATACAATGATTTAAAAGGAATCTCTCCAGAGAGAAAGTTCATCTTATCCTCACTTGCCCAACTACGAGCCTTATAATGGAGAAGCATTACAGCATGGTGGTTAAGAGCAAGGACTCTGGAACAAACTGCCTGAATTGTGGCCTTGGGCAACTTAATATGGGCATCACATGTGATATAGCATCAAAAGCACCAACATCACAGAGTTATATTACGTAAGATAATTATCTTACGTAAGAATTCATATAAATGACTTATAACAGAGCATGGCACATAGTACATGCTCTATAAATGGTAGCTATTGTGAGAATGGGCTTGACTTTTCCTAGTAACTGCTTACTGACAAAATCCAACTTTCATTTTTCTTACTGGCTGGTACCCTTATAGTATCATCAATTAAAAGAAATAACCAAGTCAGTGATTCAGCAATATAAAAAAAGGCCAGCAACCCTGGGGTTCTTCTAGCTGGAATAGCATTAGCAATAACAGGAAGTCTCTTTTAATCATTCTGCTCAATGGTTGGTGCAGGTTCACCCCCTTCCCTCCCTGGTCCCTAAAGATTCGTCATAGGCTCACTCCATTTTCCTGTACAATGCTTGTTGACTTGCCAAAAAGTACCAGGTTTAGAATTGCTATGTTGCATAAAAAGTTTAATCTCTTCAAATAAGCTCCAGGAGTGATTTTGAAGACATTTGTTTAGGGAAACGATAATGATATAGGAAAGAAAATGGTTCTGGAATCAGAAGATCCAGGTTCAAGATTCTGCTTCCCACTGACTAGACAAGTCACTGACCCTCAGCTCTGAGAAGAAAGAGATGGTTAACACCTACCCTACATGTTGGTGGCAGGGGCCATAAGACTCCTGGATAAAAAGGACAAAAAAGTCTCATCAGAACGTTCAAGTGAAAGACATATACAATTTTAGCTACTATGATTATCATATTGCTTCCCAAATTCCCATGGCAGGGAGTGAGAAGGGAAAAAGAAATTAACCAAGTCTATATATGGACATCCCTCCTGCCCTAGCTGTAGCCCTTAGATTTGTCCTGTCCCTACCACTGATTTGATTAGCTTTGCCGGTGTGGACACTGACTGCTAGCTGGACACCCAGGGCATAAGGAGGGGCCACTTAGGGCATGGCCACCAAAACAAAAAGGTGGATCTCTAGTAGACTAAGAGTCTCTGAACCCACCCAACCCAACCCCCAGTTGGTTTGGGCTTTCAGCCCTTTTCATAAAAACATAAAAAATGCCAAACAATTTCAGACCCATGGTATTTTTAGTCCATATGCTGCTTCTGATTGTGATACCAAGACACTGGCAAGATGTTCTGATAACTGTTCTCAATGTTGAAGTATCCCTGTATCAAGTTATCCCCTTTGGAATTCCATTACAAAACCAAGAAACCTTTCTAGAGCCCTGTCACATTTTCAGCGGGCAGGGTGAGACACCCCACTGGTACTTGCCCAACGGTGCTCTTCCTCTGATTTGGACAATGACGTAGATACACTCAAGGGGAGCTCTGGACTCATGACTCCCCCTGCTTAATCCTGCCATATCCCCCCAAAAAAGAAAAAGTCTATACCGTTTCAGGTCACACCTGAGGCCTGGAGAATTCTCTCCATGTAAAGCCAGAAGGAAAGACCTGCCCTGTTATCACAAACCCAGCCAGAAGGTAGTCTTGTCAGAATCTGTCCAGAGGCCCCAGTAGAGAAGGTCCACTGATTCAAAAACTTCAAGCCTTTTTCTTTTCTGTCTTACCTTTTCTTTGGCCCTGAGTTGGTCAAACATCTCCTGAATCTCATGTTTCCAGTCATCCTGCAGGCAGTGGAAGGAGTCCTTGGGCATTTCAAAGAAACCAGACTCCTCTATGGTAGTTAGCTGGTCCAGGATATTTGTGAAGGATGGTCGTGAATGGGGGTCGGGATTCCAGCAATCTTCATGGAACATGAGAGTAGACAAAAAGCATAAACGGACAGAGGAAAACGTAAGATGTAGGATATCACCTGACCTCATTTGCCAGAAAACCACCTCTCATTTCTCCTTCCAGAAACAAGAGATGGGGATCTAGGAAACCACAGTTAGGGAGTAAGAAGTAAAGCAAGCTGCCCAACATCACAATCGTAAGGAGTGAATTTGGAAACAAAATGCAGCAATTGTGCACCCATCTGATTCTGACTGTTGATTTAGT